TGTATTTCATTTTTGTAATTATTTGACATTTCTTTACATAATACATAGCACCACACATGTTTGGACTGTATTTTTTTAAAATAAATGACCATGTATAGAATTGTTTCTCTTTTGTTTGGGGGGGGGGTGACACACCAGCAGAGTCAAATTAGGCATTTTCCTAATTTTTGATACGCCAAGCCCAAAAGGTTCGCCATCACTGTTCTAGTATCACAAATGAGACAACTCTAAGGCTATCGAAACAAAAGGAAATTTTCAAGTTGCTGAGGAAGATGTAGTTTGTGGACCACATAAAGACATGATCGACCCAAGGACTTTCGGATACACAGGCGACACAGCTGGGCAAGTCTTGGAGGGCCTGATGCAAAACAAAACAGAAATTCCTGTCTGAATTCAGGAAGGTTCTCTCCACAATAACTAAAGCATGTATTACTGGTAAATATAGTTCACATTTGAAAACATATGCCTTTTAATAAAATTGGAAAGCTTATTTTATTTATTTATTTATTTATTTATTTATTAAATTTATATGCCACCCATCTCCCCCAGAGGGTGACTCTGGGCAGCTCACAATTAAAAGCAAACCTCAAAAACAATTACAAATATAAATATCCACGTTAAATTAGCTAAAAAATCAAACAATATAAAAAGACTATATACATAAAAAGACTATAAAATTCAAGATGACAGGGATGTAGAATCAATTACCCCACAAGCCAATTCCAATGATGCGAGCCCCCATCAGGCCCCCAGGCCATCTGGCATAGCCAAGATTTCACACACATCCTGAAGGCCATGGGAGTGGGGCTGCACCACACCTCGTGTGGTAAGTTGTTCCACAGAGTGGGGGTCATGGCAGAAAAGGCCCTTTTCCTAGACTCCTCCAGTCGAAATTCCTTGACTGGTGGGGTCCACAACATGCCCTTTCTGCCAGACTGAGTGGGGTGGGCTGATATAATGGGGGAGAGATGGCTCCTCAGATAACCTGGTCCTGTGCCATGAAGGGCTTTAAAAGGTAATAACCAACACCTTGAACTGGACATGGAAGCAAACCAGCAACCAATGCAGCTCACATAACAGAGGTGTTATATGAGCCCCCAAGGGGCATTCAAAACTGTCCGCGCCACTGCATTTTGCGCCAGCTGTAGCTTCCAGATACTCTTCAAGGGTAGCCCCACACAGAGCACATTGCAGTAATCCAACCAGGAGGTGACCAAGGCATGAGTGACCGTGTGGAGAGCCTCCGGATCCAGGAAGGGGTTTAACTGACGCACAACACAAAGTTGTGCGAAGGCCCTCCTAGCCACGACTGCTACCTGCTCTTCAAAAGCTTATGCCTTTTAATAAAATTTGTTAGTCAGAAAAAGTGCTACCAGGTTCATTCTGATTTTTTGCTACCACAGACTAACATGGCTCTCCTCCTACAATGTCTAGAATGATAAATGTAGTCCATCAGAGTCCAATGTAGAGATAAAGAGAAAATGCACAGAGGGTGAGTAAAAAAAAAATGGGGGGAGAGCTACAGAGTGTGCTTTGAGTTCCATCTTGGATTCGAGATTACATTGACATAACATGAGAGAACATAGATGCCCCCTCATATTTAACCAGTTAAAATCTATTTGAATTCCAATAATTGTAACATATATCTGCATGACCAGCGGTATGGTATGCTAAACTCTGGAATGTTGCAAAATCTGGTGAGCACAGAATTCCTTTTTTATTTTTTGTTTTACATGTCAGCGATGACTTCCAGAAACTGGGAAAATTACAGTAATGTTTTTCCAGGTTTTCAAACACAGACAACAATAGGAAACATTCCATTACCTCCATGTTTCATCACTTGCCAGCTCACCAGTTGCCAGCTGCAT